CTGGGTTTGCACCTGCAATGCAAGACTGTATTTTTGCTCGTGGTCTCCCTTTTCCTTTCCTACCTTACTGCCTTCTGTGTGACTCATGTTGCTTACATGCGTGACCAGCGTGTTAACTACAGCAGTAACTGAGTATGGGCACATATAGACAGGAACTGGGATTTGATGTCCTGTGATGGCACTTACACCCATGTGCTGTGACCTTCTCTACAGGAGAAAAAACACAGAAATCTCCAGTGTTGTTTTTGCTCTTGTCTCATGGATAAAGAAGTAGGATTAATTAAGATTGCAATGGCATTTAAAGCTTAGAGGGACTTTGCTTCCCAGATTATTTTTTCTTTTAGGAGGAACACGTAAGGTTTTGTTTATGTCAGGTGACTTGCAACATAACTGCTTTAGCTGGTGGGAAACATGCAGTTATCATTGCTATATTGGGCTGTGATGGCTGTATTCAAATGTGTTTGTTTTTTTTTTAAAAAAAAACAACCTCAGACACATGACTTTCTACGTAAATCAGAGATAGTATTTTGTTAGTTACCTTGCATTTAAGGATTCTGCTAGAATGGTCTGAGCTGACAGACATCTTGAACTATGTAGATCTTTATATTTTATTTTGGAATATAAATAAACCCCTTTTTTTTCCTAGAAAAAAATATTTTCTAACAGACAGTGAAACATTCTGTCCTTAAATCCAATACATCTCTCTTATGCTTCCCAGTGAGCCAGAACTACTGCTGTAATTCTCAAAATGTAGTCTATCAACGAAGAAACTGACAGCAGGTTCATATTAATGAATATTTCCAGTTAAGTGGGGTATAGGCATCTAGTAGCTTGCTTTCTTTTTCCACTTCTCCTATCTGCAGTATTTGGCAATGGTTTGTTACTCAGAAAAGTATGAGAACAAACATTTTACACTATGATGGGTATTTTGGAAGAGGGGAAAGATTGCAAAGAATAGAATGAAATATGTATTCATACTAATATATTAGTCACATATAAAGCCAAGGTGCACAGGAGATGCTTCAAGATAAAAAATTGTATGCTAGTGACTGGAACCTGTACATACTGTCCTGTGTTCCACCTTTCCTTGTTGCCTAAGAATCTAGAAATCTGCCAGAGGTGAGTAACTTCAGCAAACAGTCTTGAGAGGATGTTGCAACTCAGTGCTTAAGGGCACCAAACCCATGTAAGTACAGATATGCAGAACTGTCTAGGCCTGGGAATGCACTTTTCTTGCTTATTTCCTTTCTGTTAATTCCCCTACTGACAAAAATAGCACCTAAAGCCTCTTAAGTTTGTGTGCCTACCCTATAGCTGCAGCTTTTAATGTCACTGGTTCAGCAGCCAACTCTTGCATGTCACCGAGTGTATATAAGTCTATAGCTGAACCACCATCTGTTGTGATTTAAAGAGACAGGGCATGATTTTTTGAGAATAATACTTAAAAGATTTTAGTGTAATTGGTTTAGACAGACCTTACAAACTATTGTTTGCTCAGCGGGCTAGTCCCAGCCAACTAGGGGAGAACTATAATCCATCAAGAACAGCAGTGCCTTCTTGTTTCTGTGGAGGTATATAATTGCTGATTAAAACTCCTTTCCCCATGAAAAAAAAGTCTTCTAAAGACATGAACTAGATGCTAGAAAGAGTTTAAGAAGCTGTTGGGATCCCTGGTGATTCTAGGGACAGCTACCACTGATGAGGTAAGGGTCTAGTACTCCTAAGTCTTCTTCCCAGTGGTAGCTGCCAGTGAACTGGGTAGTGGTGACTGAAGAGATGCATGTCATCTGCAGCCTTCACATCTGGCCTCTCACCTTCTTGCAAGACAACTGTTTGCAGGAAGGAAAGCTGCTTAATACAGCTTGTGCTTGTTGCATCAGAACTTTCTAGAGCTCAAAGCAAGCCATGGCAAACTTCTGCTTGCCTTCACTTCTCTCCTTTCTTTGTCCTTTAAAATTCCTGCTCCTTAAAATTTGTCTTCCAGTCTTTTGTAACAAATTTATAACCAATGTCATTACTGGTAACCAATGATGAGACTTCTGTACCTCTGTTAAGGGGGAAGAATATTGTGTAAGCAGGGATTACTATTTTGTCATCATACCTGGTTATATTAGGTCATTATTGAGTAATTCCTGAGTGTGCACATAGAACTTCCATGAGGAGGTTTTAACTCTTGAGCCATACCCGTATTTATTAATGTACAACTTGCATCTACTCCAAAAACTTTTTAACTTCAGCTGAAAGTATTAAAAGTTGCCTCTATAAATACTGTCATAATTTGAACTTGCACCAGCCTGGGGAAGAAAAAAGGCATTAAAAATGTATTAAGAGAAGGAGAGTGAAGCATCTCTGTGTGAGATGAGTGGGTTTGGACTAAGTTCTTTGAAGCTTTATCCAAATGCAATGGATAAATAGATTAGTTATCAAACAGTTAGTTTCTGCTGACCTGTCACATACTGAACATTAGACAGAAAAAATTGCACCAGATGAATGGGTAGAGAAGTCTACATAGCCCTGGTTAGGTTGTTATGAGGCTGCAGATGTTACCTTCTGTTGTTTCTGGTTTTCCTAGCCTGACTCTGCTGCGTTGCAGAGACAGAGCTTAAGAAGCAATTAGTGCTGATGGTCAGGAGAAGGAAGGTGGACATGGTGATTTACTATTAACCTCCTGATGATAACTGCAAACTTCAGAGATGATGAGCATGAAACTCTGTGATGAGCATATTAGCAGCTGTTGGATGCATCCTCAAAACTACAGTTTTGCCTTCCTGCTCCTTTCTCTGGCATACTACTTTTACTCGGGAGAATTGAAACATTCAGATCTCCTAAAGTCTCTTGGGTTATCCCCTCCTTCCTGGGGCACTAACACGGTGTGGGGAGGGAATGTTAGATCTATTTCATTCAGTCCCTTCAAGCTTTATGGTAGTGTTAGTCACTAAAAACCTTTGGTCTTTGAAAGGCAAACTGCAAAGCAAAATTAAAGGAAATTGGTGAACTCCCTAGTGTGGTGAACAAAAGGAGAAGTAAGAGCTGTATCAGGACAGAACTCTTAATCCATGTCAGGGAAATAAAACTGAGCTTCTGAGTCTGGTAACAAGCTGACTTTTTTTTTTATCACTAAACTCAACTACTTCTCCTCAAGCACTTTGGTTTGAAACTGTCTGTAAGCTGTGTGTCAGCTAACAAGTGGTTTTTCACCTAGGCCTAAATAAAATTTCAAGGTGACATTCAAGTTTTGCACATCCCTGTGGAGGCTGCTGTTTGAGGCAAGCTAGCACTGCTTCAGAGGCATTTTAGAGCAGAGCTCTTTAGAAGGGTGTGCTTAGGTGCCAACTTTCAAAAAAGCTTCAAGTTCTGGAAACTCTGAACTTCTCCTTTGTAAGAAAAGTAACTGTTGCTCTGTACTCTGTTTTGAAGGCAGTAAGCCTTCAAACATGAAGAGAATATGAGTATATAGATCTCATGTAATGTCACATATTTGATCCATATATGACTTTTCAGATCTTAGAGGGATTGAATGCTAATGATACTGTGTATCTGAGTCTCCATGCTGTCACCCTTATCACTTGGTCCTCTCAATTTTATTAGTAACACTTCTGACTAAATTTCCTGGATATGTACTAGTAGTATTAAATATGATTGAAGGGAGATTTCTAGGAAGCCACCTTCATTATCTCAGATTGTATTTAATTTGGATAATTAATCAGCTGAAAGTCTCATTTCCTGTCCAGAGGTTAGATAGGTTGTCTCTGAAGAAGTACATTGTATATCAGTTGGTAGAGCCTTTTACCTTCCATTAGCTGTTCTGGACAAAGACTGCCTAGGCTGAACGGGTTTAGTGAATGTCTGGAATGGTGTCATCCTGGTTTATGTCTTTTTCTGGTTTCTAAATTTCATATGGATGTTTGAAATGCTGAAGAGAAGGAGTTTCTTACCAATTGGACTAACCAGAAACTTGTACTGCATTTACACTGACTATGGTGCAGCAAGATTTAGGGCTCTTGGGCTGATAATCAGCAGGTTGTGAAGTGATCTTGTGTTAGGCTAGTTCAGGTACTTGTATACTTTGGAGTGCTATTTGAATAAGTTTTCACAAGAGGGCAGAGTAGAATTTGCTCCAGGAAGCGTAATTGTCTTGAGACTCATGTAAATCTAGAAATGACCCAGCTCAGATTCCTTTGGTGTTACAACAGCACTGGCTGTATTATTAATGCTGGCCACCTGTATCACATACTGTCCTGAGTGCTCTGTGGCTCTTCAGTCTCTGCTCCACAGTGCAGAGTCCCAGGGAAAACCATAGCCTCTTGCAAGTGAACCCTCCCTGGCAGCAGGATGCTGGAGGAGTAGAGGTCTGTAGATGTGCCCCCTGCACAAGCCTTGCCAGTGTTTGCTGGTTGGTTGTAGCTAAACCAATCACATTGCTGTTAGTGCAAACATCTTGTGGTTGTTAGCACAAGATAATGCTGTGGCACAGATAAGCAAGTTCTTTGTAGTTTGCAAACGTGACAAACTGAGCTTCTGCTTGAAAGCAGCAAAGTCTCCTTGAAATGTATTGAGTTTATGGTAAAAGATGACCAAGAAAGCGACTTGAAAAGGAAATGCTGTGTATCTCTAGCTTTATGAATCTTCAAGCATGTTGGGCAATTCATTTATTACAGTTATTTTGATAATACCCAGGACCACCATTGTTGTGGAAACAGGGAGAAATCTATCCCCTCCTACCTCCTTTCTTTTTTAGAGGGCAAACTGAGGTGTTTGGATTTTTTTCCCTAGAGCATCTCGGAAGTATAGTTTCAATTGTTCCTGGTACCTCAATACTGTGCATTCCAGCAGTTTAGCTAGAGGACCTCCTTCTGATCTTTCATCACTCTTTGGAGAGCTTTCTGGCAGTACAATTCCGTGCTGCCTCAATTAATGCAAGTCAATTGACATTTAGCATTATAATGTCCTCTGTATGTGAAGACTTTCATGTTCCTTTTTTTTCTTCCTTCCTCCTCCAGGTTGACCCCAAAGATTATACTTTTTCCGGACTTAAAGATGAAACTGTGGGTCGACTGCCTGGAAAAGTAGCAGGGCAACAATTCATCATTCAAGACTGTGAGAACTGTAGTATCTACATATTTGACCATTCTGCTACAATCACTATTGATGACTGTGTAAACTGCCAAATCTTTTTAGGACCAATCAAAGGCAGCGTGTTTTTCCGTGACTGCAAAGACTGTAAGTGCATAGTGGCCTGCCAACAGTTTCGCACTCGGGACTGCAGAAAGCTGGAGGTTTTCTTGTGCTGTGCCACCCAGCCCATTATTGAGTCCTCCACAGGTATGAAATTTGGATGTTTCCAGTACTACTATCCTGAGCTTGCTTTACAATTTAAAGACGCTGGGCTGAGTGTCTTCAATAACACGTGGAGCAACATTCATGACTTTACCCCTGTGTCAGGAGAAAACAATTGGGGCCTTTTGCCTGAGAATGCTGTAGTCCAAGATTATGTCCCTCTGCCCAGCACCGAGGAGCTGAAGGCTGTCAGAATTTCTACTGAAGCTTCAAGGAGCATAATACCAATAACTCGAGGGCAGAGACAGAAAAGCAGTGATGAATCGTGTTTGGCTGTGTTTTTTGCTGGTGACTACACAACTGCAAATGCCAGGAAGTTAATTGATGAGGTAAGTGACCTTTGTCTGCCTTCAGCTTTTTGAATTTCTAACTGAACTGTCCTCTGGTGCTCCCTGAAGGGAGAACACAGAAGTTCTGCTTGTCTACTAACCATACCAAGTGACTGCACTGTTTAAAGGAAGGTAAGAGACTGGAGCTCATCTGATCAGACACTTGTTTTGCAGCTGACATCCTGTGACTGGGACATCTGTCCTCTAATAGTTCCAGTGTACTTTTCCACCATGGCACACCATAGCTACATTCTGAAGAGAATGCCTAGTTGATTTGATGAACTTGGCCAAATGTAGAGTAAGTAATTGGCAATGCTTGTGAAAGGAATATAGCCAATTAACTTGTTAGCTTATCACCCCAAAAATCACAGCTAACAAAACAGTCTGTCCTGCAAATTTTTCCAGTGCTAACAGACACTTAAAAAAAATAACATGTTAAATTGTAACCCCTCCTGCCACCCAGTATTGGAATGCTTTTCTGGAAGAGGCAGAGAGTGTTTGTCAGGGCTGCTCAGCTGTCTTTGATTACTTAAGTAAGTGGTGCTGGCTTTTTAAAAAATTATTTATTTTTTCCTTTCTCCTATGAGGCAGCAGCTCCCAACCTTGTCTGAGTTTGGGCTTTCCTAGGGCTAAAATCTGGGAGTGGCTGGTTGCTTCTAGCACCCTGGAGTGCCAGGGATGACAGAGCAGAGCCAGTAACCATGAGCTACAGCTTCTGAGAGAAGTATCTGCAAAAGCTGCTGATCCCAGTGTTTTATTATCAACAAAAAAAATCCCACAACCAGTGGAGGTCCTTCCCCAGGGCTTTTAACTGCAGGGAGCAAAAGCTGTAGGGTGTTCTTTTTCTGTTCCCTCTCCCCACAGTTTAATTTTCATGCTACTTGAGTGAAGGGAGATAATGATACTTATGGGTTGTTTTTTTCTGTAGTAAAGAGGATAATAGATGTGTTTTCCTGTGGTAGTAGTTCTAAAGAACTTAGAGTTAGGAATGTGCTAAAAGACTCGTTAGTGAGATTCTGTGGAAATTCTACTGCTCTGTAGATTAATGGATGCTTTGGAAGTACAAATACAGTTGCTCCTTGTCCACATGCTTTTAGTTTTGTATTAGAACTGAAACAAAAAGCTGTATGTGCTCGAAAGTTTGTAACTTCTTTCTTTTTTTTCCTCCAAAATTGAAAACTTCAGCAATGGATAGATGGGAGTTTGAGCTAATGCTTGACTGAACTATTGCAGACTAATGAGAACTAACTGCTTGACTCCAGATGCTGAATGCTTTTAACTCCCATTAGTTTCAGGTTGTGAGGGATTGTGGGGAAAAGAAATACAACCCTGGGCCATAATCTAAAACAAAAACATTCACGTTTACTCCTCTAGGTGCACTAGGGCAGAGGAGAAAATTTGAACGAATGGAATGAAAATAAACAGAAATGTAGAAGAAGCAATTGGTCTTTGAAAAGAGCAAAAAGGGTCCCTTCACTCCGTGGCTTAATGTGTATGGGGAAAATGGGTCTGTTGCAGTGTAATCTGGATACTCAAGCATAATATCTGTGTTCGTGTCTGCTTCAGAAGCATTTTTGACATGAATTCTTTCTCTGTTGACAGATGATGGGCAAAGGCTTTCAGCTGGTACAGACTAAAGAAGTCTTAATGAAGGCAGAGGATGCTCACAGAGTTTTCAAGCAGTGTGCATCAGAATTCATACCACTGCTTGAAAAAGGTGAGTTTGTGTTGTTTTCTTTCTCTTCTTGATATAGAAATCTAGCTGTCACTAGAGAGTTATGAAGAAGAAACAGGAATAAAAGAGAAATTTGTGTTTAAACGGTATAGTGTTGTCAGTGTAACTCAGGACTAGTAATTAAATGTATGACAATAATGCTCTCTATCCCCTCCCCACCCAGGTAGGGAAAGGAGAGAATAAGGATAGAGGCTTCCAGATTGAAAACTAAACTAGACAGCTTTAATGAAATACTGATGATAAAAGAAAACCTGTACAAACATATACCAATATATGTAGGAGTGTACAAAACCCGTCACCTCTACCCACTGCCAGCAACTGCCACAGCACTCCTCTGACCTGCAAGTCAGTCTCAAAACAGCCCCAGATCTCTTCTGGAGAGAGCAGCAGAGCAGACAGGAGCTAAGGGGAGAGTGATGAGGAGTCAGGAACACACAGGCCAGGGGATGAAAGGAGATGTATAGAGGGAGTCCTCCCTGAATGCCAGCCATGGATGAAGGAAAGCTTGACTTTTGTGATTCCTGAGATTGTACAGAATGATGCATATATGGACTACTACATTTGCCTAATTTCAGTCCCCTGTCTAGCCCTACCCTCGCCATGTGAGGGTAGTAGATGTGACTCTTCTGCTCCTTTAGTGTCCCAAGAAGCAGATCGATCCAACAAGCGAAGCCAAGTGTCCTTGGTCTCTCAGCGTAACTATAAACTTTCAGGCATTATCAGTCCACTAGCTGGAAAACTTGCTGTTGATATCAGTAAGTGTGCTGCTTAAAAGAGAGTTCACTATAAGAAAAAGAAAATCAGGAGAAAGAAAATTGGCTTGATCCTAGTTCAAACTAGGGCGAGTGTAAAGCTGGTTGAGATGAGTTTGGAAGCCTTAGTCAGGCCTTAAAAACAGCCAGAACTCCTGAAGGCATCAAAAATGAGCTATTCCACTTGTTTTGTGGCTCTGCCCCTCCTCTAGCGGTCCAACCGCATAGCCCGGGAGCAGTGGCACATGCAGATCTGTCTGAGGTGGTCAAAAGAAGCTCATGCTTTTATACTGCTTCTAACTTCTCACCACTGCTCTTCAACCACCTAGATGTTCAGTCTTTCTGTACATGTATTTAAGCAAATCAGTGTAAATGTGTATAAAGCAGGCAAGTGTTACATTTCTGTCTTACAACTGGTGCAGTGCCAGAGTATTTCAAAAGCCTTTTTATTGATCTGACTGTAATTGTTTTTCATCTCTTCCTGCACATCTTGCTGTCTGTTATATGCTAAAGCTCAATACATACTCCTGAACTTAGTAGCAACACGTAGGTTTTTTCATGGTAACATAAGAGGTCTATGATGCTCATTGCAAGACTAGGACAGAAGTTATTGTACTTGTCAGATGACAGTCTAGTTTAAGGGCTATTTTGCACTCGTGTGGGAAGAAATAATGTGTTCAGAATGAAACCAGAGAAAGGGGATCTGCAAATAGTGGGTGAGAACAAATCTAAGTAACAGCCAGTTTGCTATCTTGGGTCTGAGGCAGAAATGCCTGAATGACTCAGTCCTACTCCAGATGTCTGTGAAATGGCTCACTATTTGAGCAGTGGAGTCTGACTCACTTCCATGGTGCCCTGCACTCCTTGGCGTTTTTGTGCCATTGCTGCCGTTCAAGAAGTAAAGCTGGAATCCTGCCAGAGTCTCTGCAAAAATGAGCATGGAATTTTCAGATATTTTCTTCTCAGCTAACACTGTACTTTGAAGCTATGGTTAAGTGTTTTTAAATCTTTATCCTGCATCATGGCTGCTCAAGCAAAACCCATAAAATGGTTCTTGTGAGCTTCACAGTTCCCCATGGGTTGAAGCATCTACTGTTTCAACCCAAAGCTTAAAAGTAGTATTGATTTAAGATGAAACTGTCTTCTAGGCCCAGTGGTTGCTTTGGAGTTCAATGGAGATGGTGCTGTGGAAGGATGTCGAAGCACTGTAAATGATGTATTTAGTGGGACCAAGGTAAGCTGTTATATTGCTTTATTGGCAGAAAATGTTACAGAATGTCTAGAATCCTTCATCATCAAGCTGTAGTGTAGACATACTGAATGATTGTTTTGTGTTTCTGAATAGTAAAATCTGGATATCCTATTTTTTGCTTTTTTGTACTCAAAACTGAAGTTGCTTGTCAGAAAGAAAAATTGCCCTAGGAAAGAATACTTAATCCCCCTATCTGTTGAAAATAGAGATTTTTCCTTAGGATTGTTACTCCACATAGTAGTAAAAACAAGTTCCATAAATATAGTAGGGAAAGCACTGCTCCAGCTCTTACACTGAAGTCTGTTTTGTGATGTTCTAATGTAACCCTGACAAAGATGATGTGATGGGTTTTCACCTTTTTTCAAGGTTCATTTTTGATGTGTAGGATATTGCAGAATGCCTCCTTTCAAAGGCATTTTTTTTCTTCTGTCAGCTTGTTTTACTGTAGCTTCTTTACACCACAACCTCCTCTCTGCTTGCTGTCCCCATTTCTCTAAATGGCAATAGTTTTGAGAAAGTTTCTGGAAACAATTAGAGCATTCCTGATAATGAGAAAGTGACATACCCTTTGCTTTCAAGCAGCTGTTTAAAGAAGACTAGAATGTCTTTGAGACATAGTGTCCGTACAGCTTTTTGCTGTTTTTCAGTTCCTTTTGAAAAAGTTACTCAGAACTAGCCTGCCCAGTTTCTGGAAGAGAGTAATCTTGTGATAAGTCATCCTACATGCCACTAACGTTTGCTTTTTGTGTGTGTCTTTGCTATTGCACCAGCACAAAACTGACGTGTAGCGACCTTAACTTGGCTCTCTGAGTCTGGAGAATATTATAACTGTAATCTGGGCAGTGTTGTAATATTACTGATTCCTGCTTGTGACCCAGAAGCCATTGCTGCAAATTTAACCGTACAAATAGCCTCTTAAGTAGAAGCTTACTGTGGCTTTTTTTAGTGAGGTCAGCATATTATTTCTTTTCATACAGGATAAAGCCGATACTGGGTTCTCCTAGATCTTTTTCTCTATTCAAAGACTGAAGTTATACTAATTACTAAAACAAATAACATTGTATATTTTCCTCATTAAAATGACTTTTGTTTGGGACTATAACACTATGAATGCCCTGATCTGAGATGCATCCAGAAAACCTCACTGTGTACTTTGTCCTATGAAATAAGGGTTGTTCTTGAAGGCAATCTGTAGTATTTGGGTTCAGTTCCAAATGTGAAATTGCTTACTGCATCTGGATTTAAAACTTATGCTTACGGCCTGTCAATAGTAAAATCTACCTCACTTATTAAATACTTGCTGTATTGAATTTGGAAACAGAACTCTGGGCTTCCTGAGAAGTATACATATTTATTTAGACAAAATGTAACTCCAAAACTTCTGGTAAACGCTAGGTTTGTGCATAGGTCTCTACATAATTGAATAGCATGAGTATGCATTTTTAAAGAAAATGTATTTCTTTCTTGGGACATAATTCAGAAGTAATCTAGGGAGTAACAAGCTTCAGAATTATTGCTACCAGAAGGTTCAGGAATGCTGAAGGTTTCACCTTGTTGGCTGCCCTTATCGTGTCTGAGAGTTGTTATAGTGCTCAGAAAGAATTATAGGTATCTTTGATCAACACAGAATCACAAAAGCTCTTATGAAGACATGTATCCTGTAAGACTTTGAAGGAGATTAATCTGCTCTGAAGCAGGTGGCTACGTTTGCATTTGAAAACCACAACTTAAAATTATTCCATTAATCTGTTAATAACCCTAATTTCACCAGGTTTTTGTTTCTGAAATAAATCTGATAAACAACTCTGAATACTCTAGTAAGAGTAGAAAAGTACTTCAGCAATAGCACTACCAGAGTTTTTTGAGCTGTTTCGTAGGACCAATGTGTTACAAGGAGAGCTCTATGCTATGCACTTAAGCAGACACCCTATTTGTGTGGGCTAGGTATATTTGCACTCTTTACCTCTGACATTCTTCCTCATGTGACCACCTCTGCTTTTTTGAATGTGCTTTCTCGTATTGTTCCTCTGTCTCACTTACTCATAAAATATTGTGCAGAATGTAAATTGTAATATCCTGGTAGGGAAGGATGCTGAAAGAAGGTATTCAACTGTTGTGACCATGGTACCAATCACTGTCACACCAAACAACTGCCAAATAATTAGTAGATGTTCTCAAATACCTTCAAACAGAAGTCTACTGTGCATTCAAGCAACAGTCACAGAATCCCAGAATCCTAGGGATTGGAAGGGACCTGGAAAGATCACCCAGCCCAACCCCCTGCCAGAGCAGGGTCACCCAGAGCACATCACACAGGAACGTGTCCAGGCAGGTTTTGAATGTCTCCAGAGAAGGAGACTCCACAGCCTCTCTGGGCAGCCTGTCCTAGTGCTCTGTCACTCTCACAGTAAAGAAGTTCTTCCTGATATTCACATGGAACCTCCTATGCATCCATTGCCCCTTGTCTTATCACTGGACATCACTGAATAAAGCCTGGCTCTGTCCTCCTGACACTCACCCTTTACATATTTGTAAACATTGATGAGGTCACCCTTCAGTCTCCTCCAAGCTAAAGAGACCCAGCTCCCTCAGCCTTTCCTCATCAGGGAGATGTTCCACTCTGTCATCTTTGTGGCTCTGTGCTGGACTCTTCCAAGCAGTTCCCTTTCCTTCTTGAACTGAGAGGCCCAGAACTGGACACAATATTCCAGATGGTAGCCTCATCCAGGCAGAATAGAGGGGGAGGAGAACCTCCCTTGACCTACTAACCACACCCAGTCTGGGAAAAAAAATCAGAAATTTGCCAGCCACCGGGATATTAATCTTAAAACATAGTTTAAGTGAACCAGTTGAAGAAACTGCCATAGTTTACATTAATGTGGTATTCTGAGCTGCAGTGGAAAAGTGGTGACTGTAGGAGCGAAGTCATCTGGAATAATTCATTCCTACAGTCCCAGTGCACTTCAAACTAGCTCACTTGGCTGTGCCAACACTGATGTGCTGAGACAGTGATGGTTTCTGCTTGAGGTATAGAAAATATAAGGTAGTAATAACTCAATTTAAGATTTTTTTGAGGCTATCACTTGCATGTTGAGAATGATAAACAGCCACGACAGTGTCTGTTACACTGAACTGTTTGGGCGCTGCCTAAAGCATTTGGAATTGATTTGTTGGAAACTAGAGCTTGGACTTTGACATGTGTTGATCAATTTTGCAAAATGGAAATGTAATTGAAATTTTGTTGTTTTCTTTTTTCTTTTTTTAAATCATCTCATGAAGAAGTAACTATGTTTTCTGAGATGAATAGAGTACAAGGCAGTCTTTCTTACAAACCCTTTCTGTTAAAGGAAAGCTTCATGGTAGCCTAAGGTTTTTGTTTCCTCTCCTTCTCCTCCATGGCATTTGATTTCACTGAACAAAATACATCTAAATGGACACTATCTGAAGCTGTGACCCCTGAATAACTGAGCTCAAAACTTAACTTCTGTCAGTGGGAGATGAGGGTTGTTGCAGCTACCATGTCTGCTAGGAACAAGTGATGGTAACAGAGAATGCATCAGGGCTGAGAGAATGCCAAGACTATTCTGTCACACAGTGGAAATAACAGAGTTGTGTCTCTCGTGAAATGCAATAGCAAAAATAAGCATTGCTGGCTTTGAATGAGAAAAGGCTATTTGAACATCTTTATTAGTGAAGCATAACTATTTCCTTGTTTAATAAAACAGGTTTTTGTATCGGAGAGCAAAGCATCAGCATCTCAAGATGTAGACAATTTCTACAACTTTGCTGACATGCAGATGGGAATGTGAAGTTTAACATGAAGGTGTTCACATACGATTCGTCTCAGCACTTGGATGTCACTTGGCTTGAATATTGCAGTAGTATCTGAGAAGTTTGGTAATTTCTTTTTGTATTTCTTATATATCCATTTTATAAAGCTATTGGTGGTTTTAATACTCTGTTGCCTGAATAAGAGGCATAGCTTCCCACGTGCTTTGTGTTTGAAACTTACATTTCGACTTCAGAAACAATGGAGGTTTTTTTAATTAACTTTTTACAGTGGTTTCTAAATTTCTGTTGATGTTTCTGGTCAACATTAAATAACTATAATATGTATTTGAAAAGTACAATGCTGATACAAATTTGATGCAGTAGAAATTGTTTAGAAAGTGCATTTATGTGAACTTGCTGCTCAAAGTTTTCCCACATGCAAATTTGTTGTCATTGGGGGCCAGGGAGGAAGCTGTAGTCATTGACTTTTTCTGAAAGCCTAGTCTGAAATGAATTCTTGGAGCATGCTTTCAGAAGCAGTGCATAACTTATCAAATGCTCATCTGGCTTATTCTGCTTCAGCATCTTTTTTGAATAGAGTTGTCTGCAGCAGCGTTTATGCTGACAGGAGTCTTGACAGCATCCTGGTAAGCGATGTGAAGTTGGAGCATGAGTACTCTTGCTGAAGATGCTCTAAGGTCCACTCATGGTCTCTGGCGATGTAGCTACCTCTGGTATTCCCAAATCATATGTGGGATATACATGACGTTCCCTTGGACTCAGTGTAAGTCTGTGGCACTGTTATTGTTTGCTACAAGGGACACAGAATCATAGAATGTTAGGGGTTGGAAGGGCCCTCTAGTCCAAACCCACTGCTAGAGCAGGATCACCTAGGGCAGGTCACAGAGGAAGACATCCAGGCAGGTTTTGAAAGTCTCCAGAGAAGGAGACTCCACAGCCTCTCTGGGCAGCCTGTTCTGGTGCTCCATCACCCACACAGTAAAGAAGTTTCTCCTCATGTTAAGGTGGAACTTCTTGTGTTCTAGCTTATATCTCTTGTTTCTTGTACTGTTATTGAGCATCACTGAAAAGAAACTGGCGCCTCTAAACACAGAGCAACCAGGAGTCAGAGGAGGGCTCTGATATAATTTTAAAAAAGCTCTTCCTTACTAGACCCCAGAAGAGTTTTACACTCAGTAGTGATACTGAAAATTTGGCTGTAAAGTACTACACACTGCTGTAGGGTTTATTTTGGACTAATTCTAATAACAGACTGAAAAAGTGCTACTAGCATTTTGGGAGATGCATTTGAATAGTGATCAGTAAAGGTGCTTATTAGAATGCAAATCTATATGGATGTTAAATACGTGATAGATTTTGGTTTGGATATTGCTTGTTCACTGATTTTTCTACACAAAGTCAAAGCTTTTGACCAGGTTTACAAGCCCTCTGTAATACTTGAACAGATAGTGTGTGCAGGTGCACAAAATCAAATTTCTTAATGAAAATTGTGGCTTGCCAGTTTATGTAGCCTTTAAAATCCATTTAATGGACTGGGGCTGTGCTTAGGTGCTAAAATGATTTCTTCATTATGGTCATCTGTCAAAAGGGAAGGTCTTGTGCATCTTAACTGAAAATGAATCCTGATTCATCAGTTTCACAGCTCTGCAGATTCCAAAGCAGGTGGCTAAAAGCACACCTCTTTCTAATTTTTTAGAATTAGCACATGAAAGAATCTATTCTCCTGAAATTCCTAATTCTATCATGCCCAAGAGATATTCTGAGCTGTCATTCTGTTGCTACTTGGCAAATGCTTGCCCTTAGTTTATATATTGAGAATATGTCCTTAGGCCCTCTTGTTGAAGTTATGCATAAATTAAATAAGGAATAATATATTCTGAAGTCACTAAGCCATTAGTGTGCTGAAAGTAAGAAGAATGTCACTTTAGTGACATTTTTTTAATTTGACAAAGTGAAATAAAATAAAACCACTACCAGAACCTGACTGGTAGTGGATATTACCATTTACATGTGCTTAGCCAGCCAGCATTCTTTCTGTGTGTGAGGAGAGGTTTCTGAAAACAGCTCACAATCTTAGATCTGTCTCCAAAGTACTAGCACAGCTCTTTAATGAACATTTGCAGGAATTATTCTACCCACGTACAGTAAATGTATTTTTTCTGGTATGGACAGTACATTAAAATTGTGTAATGTACTTCAGAACTGTCATTGTGTAATTTATCTAAGCAGTGAGTATAATGGACCATCTTGGTCTCTAAACCTTTACATACAATACGCTGACATGTGATGATATGAATGTTTCTTGTTTATTTTTTTGTACCATCAACCTGCTCTGGAAGCAAAGTGCTAAACTGATTTTTGTGATGGCTTTTGCTGAAGGACAGGATGGTTAACTGAAAAGTAATCTAGGCTTGAAACAGTGGAAAAACTTATCTACATGCTGGTAAAGAGCAAAGTGTTCAGTTTGTTTGTTTCTTTGGTTGATTTTTTACATTGATAGCCTGCTTACCAACATTAAGAGTTTTAAATAATGAAGGAGTTTCTTAATCCAGTTATTTATCTTTTGATTTCAATTTCTTGCTAACAGGTGTTATGGGCACTTCTAGCCTAAGCATCAGGTATTGTATGCTTTATTGAATGGTACGTGCTTCAGATAGTCTTTGTATGATTATTGTATAACTTTGATGTAATTTCTATTGCACTGTGAATGTGATTCATAATAAACATTGAAAATCTAAACTCTGGATTCTGGAAGACTTTTAAAAAATAATAAAATATTACTAAACTAAATATTACTTATGTTAAGTAGAAAAACTGAATTCTGTGTTTGAAAAGGGACTTTAAATATCCATCCTCCAAAAAAGGTGAATTTTTGACAGCAGGGATTTTCCCCCAAAGTCCCTGAGGATATGATTAACTTAACACTGCAGTTTTCCTAGTAAAATATGGAATAAGATATTTGTATATCAAGCTGTAGAGATGCAAGTACAGAAATACAAGATACAGATTCCTGGATGGAGACTGTTAAAGCACTTCTCCCTGATCTTTGTGTGTGTGTGGTTTCTTTTGCTTTTTTTTTCTCTTGACTTGTAAAATTTTTGTGCTTTTTAACTGTGTTTGCCTCTTTGGGTATTAGATGAATGTTAGTGATGTAGTCATGGCAAAACCAGATTGTGGCAGTTATACTAGTAGAATTTTTAATTTAAAAAGCAATTCCTTTGTATATCCTATTGAAATGGGTAAAACCTCCTGAACACAGGTAAAAATTAGATTTCCAAACTCAACTTTATACTGCTCAGATTAGAATATTCCAACTAGAAATGGTCTAGGGTAACCCTCATGAAGTGTAAATATTTGCTAAGAACTTGAAGTACTGTATCAATATCATTTTCTTTTTGTGAAGCTTTAAAAAGTGGAAGCTTTTTGTTTACATTTTAGCTATTGTACAATTTTACAGTTAAAAAAACCCCACAATCTTGTACCCAAATTAAATCTGAGTTGTCTAGTAATCTTTTTTAAGTAGTATCCAAGTCATAGCAAAGCTGTCCTTAAGTATTTTCACAATTTTTACCAACCACATCCTCAAATACTAACATGCAGAAGCTTTGCATCTGTGCCCCACTTGCTGGGAAGTCACCCATTTTCTTTTGTTGTACCCAATAGTAATGCATAAAATGTATGAATTTTAAATTAACTCACATACCAGGCTTCACTTACATAACTGAGACTTAAATTTTTTTTCTCCATTCCAAAAAGCAGCCTGAAACTTTTTATTTTAAGCCTTCTGAATCCATTAGTCTTTGGAGGTTTGCAGGAAGAGCTCTTCCAAGGCATGTTCAAACCTGATCTAAAACATCTAAATTCTAGTCCAACAGTATTAAAAACTAGGAGCAAGTGCCAGTCATAAGTATTGTCTCTACCATGCATGGATTTGAGTGGGATGGTGCAAGCAGGCTGCAGCACTTCATTAAGTTGCATGCCATGGTACTGCATTCTTGCTGCAGTACATGTTGGAAGGCACCTTTGGTAGGTCCATCCCGTTCTCTGGACATTGTAGAGCTCACAGTTTGAGCTATAGCAATTTATGGAGGATAACAATTTCTGAAAAATAATAACTTGCAGTATTGTCAGCCTGGAAGCTTGTCCTGAGCTCTGTCTCTCAGCAAACCATCTACATGGATGGGAAAACTTCACAAGCATCGGACCTACTAAAAGTAGGATGTACAGGAGGCTTCACTGAATGTTTCAGAGTAGCAGTGTATTAACAGGCCAGACATCAAAACCTTGGGTTTCCTGTTTGATAAAAGAATGCTTTTTCCTGTTTTTATCTCTGCAGAATGCCTGATTGCCATAAGACTGTTTGTTGCTGGTAGTATTATGGTCATGCAGTCTTCCTGATGCCTGTGTAGTCATCACTGGTTCTTTGTAAGAGAGAAAGAGAGGGAAGCGAGAGAAGCTTTTAAAAAAGCTCTGTAGTCTTCTGAATAGTCAAATAAAAATGTGCAACTGCTCATTCCTTTATTTTTTATGCATCTAGTGATAATCCCCAGCTATGTACAATTTAATGGCTAAAGGATCTGAGTACTTTCCCAGAATGTATTAAGCAATGTGACCAGCATCTGTCAAGTACAAGTCATCCTCTTTCTAGTTGCACAAGGCATTTAAAATTGCCAGTGTTGTCAAGGGTCTAAGAGATCTACCAAATACACGTGGATTTCCCTCGCATCCTTCTGTTAAAACCACTGTAGTAAGTTTACCCTTAAAAGCATCAGGTGAAGTTGATTGGTAGGAAATTACAGTGAGGTTAAGAGGCTCTTGAAGAGTGTTTAAGTGACTGTTTGTCTGAGGTTCCCAAACTACAAAGGCTAAAAGCAACATGCTATTACAGATTCTACCCAAATGATGAGGCTAAATTTAAGGCTAGGCACCTCTGCAGGACTGAGAGCCCAAAGGAATCTCTCTCTGGATGACAGTGGTATGTATCTCTCTGGTTTTCCAATTTCATTTTATTGTAGGGATTGCGGTGATGGAATCCCAGTTCATAAGGTCATGTGAGAATCTCCACTTTAATTTTTAGATACATTTTGTCCTTGTCATAGTGAAGAAAACTTGATAAAGTTGGTTTGTTTTTTTGTTGTTGTTTTTGAGCCAT